CTCTCCTGCTCCTGTTTTTCAAGTGCAACTAGCTGCTTTTGAAACTCGTCCTCTGCCTTTGTGAGAGACTCTCTCATAGTATTCACGTTTGATTTTAGAGTTTCGATCTCTTGTTCTAGCATGTCAGAGTGGATTGAGCCCTCTTTTCGAAGTGTGACCAGTTGTTCTTCTTTGGCCTCGACCTGCTCCCTCAGCCGCTTTACCTCATCTTCTGAGGTCATCATCATGTTTTGTAGAGAGTCCTTTTCCTGAGAAAACTCAAATTCCTTCTGTTTCAGCAGGTTTTCTTTAACTGAGCCTGCTCTGTTGCAGTCTTCAGTGATTCATTCAAACACTGCACTTGACGCTGAAGACTTTGGATCTCATTCTGTAGAGCCTCTGACTCCATGTAGTTGTTGGTCTTCATCTCATCTACCTCAGCCTCTTTAGTCTGGATTTCCTGCTTCAGTCTATTTACTTCTGCCTCAAGAACTGAAATGTGTTTCCCAAGCTCTTCACTCTGCAAAGTGCTTTCCTCTTGTTGTTTGGTCATTAGAGCTTCTCTGGCTTGAACCTGGTCCTTGGCCATCTCAAGAGAATGGGTCATGCTCTTTATTTGGTTGTTCAGATCATCAAGCTCTTGCTGCAACAATTCAGAGCGTGTAGAGGCCTCAGTCTCTAGCAGAGCCATCTGTTCCTCTTTTGCCTGGACCTCATTTTTCATTCGCTTCATCTCTTCCTCAGAGGCAAACAGTTGTCGCTGCAACAGCTCTTTCTGGACGACGCTCTCCTGCTCCTGTTTTTCAAGTGCAACTAGCTGCTTTTGAAACTCGTCCTCTGCCTTTGTGAGAGACTCTCTCATAGTATTCACGTTTGATTTTAGAGTTTCGATCTCTTGTTCTAGCATGTCAGAGTGGATTGAGCCCTCTTTTCGAAGTGTGACCAGTTGTTCTTCTTTGGCCTCGACCTGCTCCCTCAGCCGCTTTACCTCATCTTCTGAGGTCATCATCATGTTTTGTAGAGAGTCCTTTTCCTGAGAAAACTCAAATTCCTTCTGTTTCAGCAGGTTTTCTTTAACCTGAGCCTGCTCTGTTGCAGTCTTCAGTGATTCATTCAAACACTGCACTTGACGCTGAAGACTTTGGATCTCATTCTGTAGAGCCTCTGACTCCATGTAGTTGTTGGTCTTCATCTCATCTACCTCAGCCTCTTTAGTCTGGATTTCCTGCTTCAGTCGATTCACTTCTGCTTCAAGAACTGAAATGTGTTTCCCAAGCTCTTCAATCTGCAAAGTGCTTTCCTCTTGTGTTTGGCATTAAGCTTCTCTGGCTTGACATGGTCCTTGGCCATCTCAAGAGAATGGGTCATGCTTTTTATTTGGTTGTTCAGATCATCAAGCTCTTGCTGCAACAATGCAGAGCGTGTAGAGGCCTCAGTCTCTAGCCGAGCCATCTGTTCTTCCTTAGCATGAATATCTGCATTTAGCCTCTTGATTTCTTCTCGAGATGCTGTCTTCTGCTTCTCGAGTGCTTCCATATGTTCAGCACTTTGTTGTTGAAGTAGCTCTATTTGTTGGACATTCTCTTGTGCGGTTTTATCCAGTAAGTCTTGCTTCATGTGAATTTCCTGCTCCGCCTGTTTGAGAGATGAACTAAGGTCTTCCACTTGAGCTGTTAAGATCTGGATTTTGTCACTCAGAGTTTCTTGCACATTAGACTTCTCAAGAAGTAACTTGGCAAGCTCTTCTTCTTTGGCTTGAATTTCATCTTTGTTTTTGTTAGTTTCATCTGTAAGAATGTCAACTTCATCTTTGAGACTGTTAATTTGTTGCTCTTTAACAGCCAACAGAGAAGTAGCAGCAGTTAACTTTGTCTCAAGATCGTTCACCTTTTCTTCAGTCTGATGAAGAAGATCTTCCTTTGCTTGCTTAATTTCCTGTAGTTTTTTAATTTCTTGTTCACAAGCAGCAATATGCTGTTGTAGCCTGTCTGTCTGCTCATTTTTTTGCTGCTCAACCTGCTCAAGCTGAAGCTTAAGGACTCGGATCTCTTCCTGAAGAACTCCCCTCTGCTCATGTATCTCCTTAATTTCTTGGTGGCATTCCTCCAGTTGCTGAGTTTTAGCATGAATCTCCAGCTCAGCCTTTTTCAGGGAGAAATGTGTAGTCTCTAGCTCATTCTTCAAACCCCTGATTTCAGTCTCCAACATTTCTCTCTGGCAATTTAAGAAGAACCAACAATTATAATCAATGAAGTAGAAAATAAAATTTCCAAACTTAAACTGAAAATAAACAATTCAAGATGTTTATCGCTTACCATAATATTTTATACATTTTTTATATTTTATATATTTTCAATTAAGTTTGCTTTTAAAATTGTTAGCTTTTACATATAATTACCTCTACTATGGGTCCCATATTTTCCCCAACTTCATCCTTACTGGCCTTGCTTATTTCATCCTCCAAACAGGAAATCTTTCCTTGAAGGATTTGAATTTGTTCTGTAAGGAGTTCCTGAGAAATGAGAAAGGGAGCAGCTTACAGTAAATTAATTTGTATAAAACCCAACATTTAATGAGATCAATGGAGAAATAAGATTACTTACAGTCAACACAAATCTAATATAACTACTCTTCTTTATTTATAATAAAATAGGCAGACATGAGCATTTAAATGTGCTTTTCTTCTGAGTCTTTAACAGACATGATGTTTCCTATTCATTGTCCTTTTTGCATTCAGATTTCTCTGTATGACACAGGAATGCATGTTAAACAATATATCTTGTGAATCTACACCTTTTGAGCAGTTGCTTGGTTGAGCTCAGACTGTAGATGGTTTCTTTTGTTTCTCCACTCCTCCTGAGCAGACGCTTGACTTTCCGTCAGTCTACCAACTTCTGTCTCAAAGGCGGCAAGCTGTGAGCACACAGCTCTCACCTGAGAAAATTTTTAAAAAATAAAAAGGTTTTTCAAATCCATGTTTTGATCTCAAAACTGACACAAAAAACTCCTCAATACTTTAAAAGGTTTCTACTAGTGAAACACTCTCCAGAAACATGAAATGCACATGACCTTTACTGAATCCTGTCATGAGTGAGAATTCACTATCACAGATTTGCCTCAAAAGGTTTGGAAGCCATAACAGCAGACACGTTCATTAGATCTTTAGTGTAAATAAGAGACCCTCAAGAAAAAAACAAAACAAAACAAACAACAACTTAAAAACAAACAAACAAAAAAACCCAGAATATTTTGCATGTTATTACCTGAGAAGAAAGCACACCGTTTTCATCTGCAAGCTCATCCACTTTGCGCTCCATGAGTGAAGTGTTTGTCTTGAGGTCTTTATTTTGCTTCAGCATCTCATTAAGACGCTTTTGTAAGCTGGAAAATAAATAAATAAATAAAAAATTTACTTTAAAACACTTCTGTACAAAGGTCTAGAAGTACAGACTATTAGTCTGTTGTACAGAATGTAGTCTGTTGTTAGGGGGTTGCTAGGCAACATGATGACAAAATATTGTGTAACTTTTGTGGATAGAAATTAGATGTTATGGTTGTGATATTAAAATGATGATTTTATAGGTAGGGATGGGAATCGAATCCCGGTTCTTATTGAGAACCAGTTCCCACTGTTTCAATTAACTGGAAGCCTAGGCTGTGAATCTCTTAAGATCTCACTGTTGAGGTTTGTAAGGCCATGTTACTCCTAAATTTCTATCTTGTTCAAAGAGAAGATATAAAACAAAGTTTAAGCTAATCGACCTGTGTGTTCTCTTTTTTAAAAACAAGAATCGATAAAGAATCAATTGTTAAACAGAATTGAAAAAGGAATCGGAATCGTGAAAATCTCATCAATTCCCATCCCTAGTTATAGGTTCATAAATCACTGCTCTTGGGTACTTACTCATTGTTCTTGATCTCAAGCTCATTAATTTGTTCTTTGGTAACATGCTCCTGATCACCTTGTTCTTCCTTTAGTTTATCCAGGCGGTACTGCAACTGGTTAATGCGAGACTCTGGGAAAGAGAGAGAAAGAAAACCAAAGCACGAAGCAAAGTCTATTGAAAACATGACAAGTATAAAAAGCTTAAATGAAAATGCAGATAATCTTAGACAAATATGAGTGGTGCTTTAACAAGAATTTTGCCATTTCTCAAGTCTAACAAAATGCAAACCATACATTCAACAGATAGTACCTCTTTGTTCAATGAGCGCAATCTTGCTGGCCAGCTCCCTCTCCAAACTATCTCGATAGTCTCGCTCCTTGATCATCTGTCGCTGCATTTTCCTCAGCTGAAATTTCGGTGTGTTCATTACATCCTCCAGAGGAGAACTGCTGTGTGAATTAAGCAGATCAGAAAGGTAAAGATTTTCAACGAAATGATGACAACCTGTGGATTTTCATCATGTATATTATAAGATAATGTAATACAAGGAAGTTTGGATTAACATAACCCATAAAACTGAATAAAAATGAATATTGCAACATAACCTGAAAATATTTAAGTCATATCTGGTACCTGACTGAAGAAGAAGCCACAGTTTCTATGTCCACAAATTTAATTCTACTGTTTCGGTGGAAGAAAGGAGACTCATCACCCAAGAAGGAAGAGATGCTTGACATATTGGTACCAGAGGTGGCTGCTGATTGCTCAAATATTTCTTGAGAGAAAGTCAAATCTGAGACAAAGATTGCACAATAGAGTCAAGCCAGTTAGTTTGTTTGTTTTGCTAAAGACTTCTTATTACAGTCTACCTCGGAGGGGAAAAACAAAAGTGACATATTTGTGACTTACGTTTTCCTCTCAGATGAGCGTCAAGTTCCTCGCTCAAATAAACACAACCCTCACTCTCCATCACAAAGGAACTAGTTAGGTGTGCTAGTTCCCGCTAGCAGAGTGGGATTAAATAAATACACACAGAATTAAAATAATAGCACAAAGCAACTCATGAGAAATGAGATGAGATGTATAAGTGTGACCACAATACACCAGCAGCTCCCAGCTTACCTCCACATCGAGGGCTCAATCCACTCTGACATGCTAGAACAAGAGATCGAAACTCTGAAAAACCAAGTATGTGACATGAGAGAGTCTCTCACAAAGGCAGAGGAGAAGGTTAAAGTCCTTCAGGCAGAGTTGTCAGTTGTCAAGACACTTGGAGCTGATAAAGACCAAAGTATAAACACACTCAGAGAGGAGGTCACTGCTCAAGCTAACGTGATACAAAAAACAAAAGCTGAAGCTGAAGCCAGTGAGAAACTTGTGGCTGAGATAAAACAGGAGAGCTCCAAACAGACCTATGTTCTCCAAAATGAGATCCAGGATTTGAAGGAGGAGGTGGAAAGGCTTCTGGCCAAAGAGCAGAAATTAGTTGAAACTCAGCAAGAGTCTGCTCAGCAAATAAACCTCCTTCAGCAACAGCTTGCATCCGCAGCTGCAGAGTTGACACAACATGAAGCAACACAAGTTACTAACATCAGGTTGAAAGAGACTGTGCAGGAGATGCAGGTTACCACACTCAAAGAGAAGGAGACTCTTGTCCAAGAAAAACAGGTGCTTTTGGTTAGAATACTCCAGGCAGAAAAAGATTACGAAGCCATAGTTTTTGAGAAGGAAAGACTTCTCCAAGCCAACCTGGCCCTAAAGAGGGAGAATGTAGCCTCACGGAAGCTTGAGTCTGTACTGCAGCAAGAGCTGGAAATACTGAAAATGGAGAATGAGAAATTGCTGAAAGAGCAAGAGAAAGCAGAAGAAATTGAGCTAATCAAGAGAGATCTGCAGGAACAGCTTGCCACTAAATCAGAGGCTGCTGAACACTACAAGGCTCAGGTTGGTATGACCAGAAACTGTTACAAAATATATTTTACTGCTTGTGACTGAACATCTGTTTGGATTTGTTTGAGAATGTAATCATTTTTATTTCTGCTTATCTCTTAATATAATTGTTTTGTTCATGAGAATTTTTTTTGTGTGTGAGATAAATGATCTGGACTAGAAAATTAAGATACGTGTTTTGAATACCACAGATGGAGAAGGCTGCAAATCATTACAACAGCAAGAAGCAGCTTCTCCAGAAAAGCCAAGAAGAAGTGGATGCTCTCAAGCTTTCTCTTGAAGCTAAAGAGCGTGAAATGCACACTATGATAATGGAAAAGAAAGTACTTCAGCTTGATTTGGACAAGGCTCAAGCCAATGAGAAGACACTTTCACACAGGGTGGCCAGCTTGGAGGCACAGGTTAGTATTGCAGTTTAAAGCATGACAATAAGCAGAAAGATAGAAGAAATTAAAACTACACCTGAATATTTTTTTTTTTTAGCATTTTAACCTGTTCTGTCACAATTTCTTTACTTTCAGCTTGCCTGTGCTGACCAGAATTTAAGAGTACAGAATAAGATTCATGCCAATGGAGGCAGTGCAACAAGCTCGTGTTTCTTTGAGGTGCCTTACTCAAACTCGGGGGTTTGCACTAGAGCACAGGTGAAGAGAGCTATGAGCTCAGATAGCCTGGACCAGAGCAGTATGGAAGACTCTCTAAACTCCACAAGGTAAGTGTTGGGTTAAGGTTTCTCAGAATCTTTTTGTAGGACTTGCTCACCAAACAGACGGGAAAATAAATTAAACGCACAGAACAAAGTTAAAAGATTGGTGTTCTAAAGAAGAGGAGATGCAAAATCTTTTAAAAGCTGTGACTTGAGTAACATATAACTGAAGCCCACCTTGTACAGGATGGCTCCAGCTGAAGTCAGTGTGTTCTTGGACTAAAATGCATTACATGACTCACACGATGATGCAGTAATGCATTACAAATGGAAAACAATCCAAATGGGATGACAAATTGATATTCATGTTTCAGGGGCTGTGGCCCATAAATTCTGACATGGCTCCACTCTGTGTTCCTACACACATCCTCAAACTTCATTTCAATCCCAACGACACACCTGTGATGTTTCATGACTACTGTAGTACTGACAAAACACAATATGTCCCACTAGACACACAAACACCTGCCAAAATTCTGAATATCACCTTTGTGGTAGTTCTCACAAAAACAACTGTATACATGCAGACACTCACTGTGTGGAAGGTGAAAGTGTTATATTGGATTTGGAAAGATTTAGTGGGGGTAGTGATTAATGCACACTGTTTTCTTTCTTTTTTTAAAAACAAACTGTTTCAGAAAACTCTCAGCGCCCGATGAATCCAGCACACCACTTGTTCGCAGTTCAGAACGCTTGGCAGCCAAACGCCGGGGTCTAAAGGCCGAGTCACTGGAAACTTTGTACTTTACTCCTATTAACACCAGACAAGTCAAGAGGTGCTTTTGTGGTCATACTCCTTACACATTTTTTAGCTCTAGATTGGTTGTGATCTTACCAAGACGTGTTTTATTATCAAGACAAGATTTAAGAATTAGCAGTGATTATATCTTGTCCCCTAATATTGTGCGATTACAAAACACTTTGAAACTCTTTACTCCTTTAAGGAGTGAGTACTTTATTTCCTGGTTACTGTAGTAAAATAATTTATTATTCAGACCCTTTAACATTTGTTCTTAAATGTAATTTTAATGTATAAAACTGAATAGGACACAATTGTACAGATAATTGTGTCTAAATTGTATTTCATGTATTAGAAACAATACTGATTTAATTGCTTTCAAAATCTTTCATTTTCAAATTCCTTTTCTTTCTCAGGACCGGTGCAGAGGAAATTATGGATTCAACCCAAAAAAATCCAACTTCATCAGTCAAACGCCGCAGAACCACCCAGGTTATAAACATCACTATGACCAAGGTGGAGGAAACTCACACACGCTTGCTGCATGTTCACAATAATACACACTGATAAAATTGGTTCATTTTTAATATTCTCTGTATTTTTTTTTTTAAATTACAGGTGTTTCAACTTCACTATTTATGTAATTTAGTCACTATGCTGATGAAGGTTTACTAGTATTATTGTTATTGTTTCATTTAACCAGTTTCTAAAATTTCTCTGATGATGCCTTTCTTTAACAAGGAATCACTGTCTCAAGTTTTAACTATCATACTAAAAGATTAGTTGACTAATAGATCTTTGTGTACATCACTTGCTTGTTGGCAGCACATAATAATTCACCGCAGCACCTTAACAATACATTTAAGTGGTCCAACGTTTCCCCTTCTAAATATCCCAAAACTTCCATCCGAGTATTACTGTAGTTGTGACTGTTGATTTCTGATCTGTAGAAGACCCCGGGCTGCGGTGAAGCTGATGAGACCTTCTACAGCCTGGCTTCAGCTCGCTCCCAGCCAAACCTTGCTAATGCAAACTCTGCCCGGCCCGTGTCTATGGAGCTGTTTGACACTCCCGCCAGAAGGACCAGCTCTGCCAGCGACCAACTCATTGGGCTTCCAGGGTACAGACGGAGCACCATCCATGTACAGCGTGAGTAAAAGGATCAGTTTTCCCTCCTGAAAGGAAAGAGTTGCAGAATCGTGATGGAACTTCATTTAAGTTTTAAATCGTAATTCTAATAAGCCTTCAGAGAGAAACAGCATTATTTATAATGCAGTTATAACATTATTAAATTACTGTATAGTTGGAGCAACTCAGGCTGCTTGATTATGGAAGAAATATAATTGCAGTTATTACAATTGTAAAGATTGTTTAATTAAAATTATTTCAACTAACCACCTCCCTTTACTAGTTATAATTCACTTTTTATATAACTAAATTTATATAAGTATGTAACTTGTATTTGTGAGTGATTTCAAGCTAAATTTCTGTTACTGATGTGGCCCACCTGCAGTACCTTTGTGGCCCATAAGGGGACGCTGGCCCACACTTTGGGAATCACTGTTTTTGATGGAAGCTGAAATTGGAGCTGCACGTTCATAGTAACAACTGTAAAACCTGAGATTTGTGTGTATGTGTAACTGTTTTGCTTCATCTGTTTCTTTTCAGCCACCAGTACCTTCTGCGTTGGAGCAGAAAACGAGCCTGATGGTGGACCTGAAGACTGGCTGAGGATTGCGGAGCTCCAGTCCAGGAACAAGGCCTGTCTGCCTCACCTAAAAAGCAGCTACCCTGTTGAGTCTGAGGTGATAAGAAAAGAACTTGGATGCCAAATTTCTCAAATAGTGTGTTGGGTGGCTGTAGCTCAGGTGGCAGAGCAGGTCAGCCACTAATCAGAGGGTCGGTGGTTCGATCCCAGGCTGCCTCCTGGCTGCATGGCTGCATCCAAAAATCCTTGGGCAAGATACTAACTCCATGTTTGCCTACTGGTGGTGGTCAGAGGGCCCGGTGGCGCCAGTGTCTGGCAGCCTCGCCTTTGTCAGTGCGCCCCAGGGTGGCTGTGGCTACAATTGGGTGGATGACTGGATATGTAAAGCGCTTTGGGGTCCTTAGGGACTAGTAAAGCGCTATACAAATACAGGCCATTTACCATTTGTTCCTAATTAAACGTCTGTATACTGAATGCACTAAAATCTTTCTTCTTCTAGACTGGAAGGAGCGGTCCATTGGTTTTTACAGACGAAGAGCTGCGTACAGGTGACCCGTCAGACACAATCCGCCGAGCATCCATGGTTCCAAGCCAGCTGCGGGATTCCCTCATCTCACATCGACAGTCACTCATGTTGGGGCAGGTGGGTGCTGCTGCCGGCACTCGCTCCGACCGTCTGTCCTTGATGCCAGGCCAGCTACCCTCAAGGACCGCCAGCTCCTATCAGCTGAGGAGCCCAAAAGGCACAAAGCAGCCTTCATCCACATTGTCCCTACACCAAACTTCACCTGAGGTTGGTTGAACCATGAACAGGAAACTGTGGTATACTATTACTGGTGGATAGTATATTGTATACTTATTGAATAGTCATCCAAAATAAGTAGAAAAATGTTTAAAATGTAACTTTATGTTTGCTTTTTATCTCAACCTGAAGAAAAAGATGAAAGCCAGCTGCTTCCCTCGTCCACTCACCCCGAAAAACAGGAGCGTGAGCAGTGGTCCTTCGAGCTCTACTCTTCGTGCTGCCCTCAGCCCAGTGAGTGTAATTTTAGCTCACACAAAATTGTGACAAAACTTTGTTTTTGAGCGCTTTGCTAAGTTTCACTTGCATTACTCTCAGGCTGAGCGGAGGCAGTCAATGATGTTTACCATCGAAAACACCCCTAAAAGCAATAACTACCTGAAGAAACATCTGAACAAGCTGCGCAGCTCTGCACGTAAATCCCCAGGCGACAGCTTGAAGAAGTCGCCTGCTCAGACGAGCGCACGCAAGCACCAGGAAAAAATGCCATCGGGGAGTTCACGTGGTGGTGTGAGACAAGCCGGGAGAACTGGAAACTTTAAATCACCTCAAGTGGTAATGAAAGGATCGAGGAAATCTCCCCAAGCTGCCAGCAGATCTGCAAAGTCTCCTGGATTGACAGCCAGCGCTCGCAAGGTAAACATCTGACACTGCAGTGGTTTATGAAAGGACAACAGCACAGGGTGTGGTTTTTATTTCTGACATGTGCAACAACATTTTATTGTATTCAGATGTTATTAAATCTTGTTTTGTAGCAGTGTTGCTGAAATGCATTTTCCTGAGTTTTGGTTTAATCTTTGTCTTTTTCTTTTCTTTCAAACTTACAGATGATGCGAAGGATGAAAGTCTGATGACTGGTCAAGCCCCCCACATCCGTTCACCCACAAATAGTTCATCGGGACTTTGTTTTTAACAGTTCATCATTCTTTTTCCATGTTTGTTTTGCTTCTTAATCTTTGTATTATATGTACATGTTTCTCAGTTAATCGATTTTAAATGGTATTGCAGGAAATGGATATTTTTTTACCTGCAATTGTATTTTGATTTTTTTGTAAATAAATTTTTCAATGATTTGGGAGTTCAGGCTCTTCATTTCACTGGTGGTGCCATAAATGGCCAGAACAGAAGCCTAAATTGTTTTGTTTTTTTACTGATTATGGGATTTTACTGAGCCATGTAATGAAAGTAACTTTTCTTTCTACAGATCATATTTTACATGTGAGGGCCGTGATGCCGACAACAGGTTTAGTTTGTTAACCCCAAACACAGGAAGCGTTTCTGTTCCAGAAACAGAGCTAACTTTAACAGTTACTCCGGCAAATAAATCAAATATCACATTTAAATTTAAATGTGGGTTTAAAATCAAAACTATGCTCTCTGTTGACTGTTTGCCTAACTGCAACACAAGTGTACAAACTCAGTAAAAACCAAGCAGAGTGGGAAGGAGGGAAGCATTTGTACATAAAAAAGAAACGTTAAGTGCACCAACAGATCCATATATGTCTCAACTGATGTTTTAACAAAACCTTTTTAGTATAAATAGCACACAGAGTACTGCTGCTGGATCCTAAGAGTCACAGCAACAACAGACTGTAATGTCTGCTGAGGTCTCAGCAACAAGAACTAAACAGTCCTGACTAATGTCTGCACTTTAAGACAAAAACACAGTCTGCAGGTTAGAAATGAATCACATATCAAACAATTTGGCCCAAGTTCAGACCAAGAAGACACCTTTTGGTACACAACTGTTCATGTTGCACAGCAGCGATCAGAGCTCTGTTGTTGTAAAGGAACCACTTGTGATATTGTAAAAGGCACCGTATGTATATGACGTACTGACTTTATTAAACAGATCAGAGGACAAATCATGGCTTGGCAAACAGTTTTTCATCAAAGATGCTGTGGACAGCACCCTGCAGCACGTCTGTCCTCTGACTTATACTTGCTCTGACTCTGGAGGAGCTGATCAGCACTAACTCATCAGGAAGCTGTATGGATATCCATGGTACTTGGCTCTGAAGATCGACAGCAACCAACTGAAGAACAGCATAACTAGACCGATCCCTGCAACACACGTAACTTTTTTTTTTTCTGGAGACATAAATGGTGTTTATTGTGTTTTTTATTTATTTATTTATTTATTTTTTGCTAAAACGGGACAGACATGACTGGGGGATAGGACAGGGAGAAAGAATGAAAGAAAGAGAGGGAGAGAAAGAAAACCAAAGGGGAGAAGAGACGGTGAGAAGGGGGGGAAGAAAGAAAAAAACAAACAAACAAAAAAAACAAAACACCTGGGTCACCTGTATGGAGAAAAAAAACAGAAGAGAAAGCAAACAACAAAGAGCAACATAATAAAAAAAGCACCATCACAATAAACTAGCTAGCAGTAGATATCAGTAGATACTAAATAATAAACGATATTGTGCAGCACGCAAGATAGACAGCGCACAATGTGCTTTGAGGCAGCAGCCAAGAAAGCTGTAGTCCGCGTCTGTGAATACCCGTGTGTACACCTGTGTGCATACCTGTGTGGATCAGCATGCTTGCATTCCAAAGGTTTCTCCATGTAACGATCTGCTAGGGAGTGTGGGGAGCCACAGCCCCGTCCTCCAGGGTCATGAAGCAGGTATGGAGGAGATCAAAACTCCAGACATCCAGAGGCCCCCAGAACACAAGAGACCAAGGAAGACCAACAGAGGGGCAGCCGCGCCACTGTCCCAGAAAGAGCTGAGGAGAGTCCCAGATGAGGGCTCACTCAGCAGCCGCGGAGCAGAAGCCAGGGGGAGTTGCAGTGAGCTCCGCCGGCAGCCAGCTGTGCCTGAGTGACCGAGCCCAGGCCGAGAGGCCGGGGGCACCCCACCTCCGAAGTGGCCCGAGCGAGCCCCAGGCTCCAGGCCCCGATAAGCGGCCGCCAAGGAGTGAGCCGGTGTGTACCCGGACGCCCACCCCCAGACACAAAGAACCACCAACGCACCGACACCTGAGGGAGTCCGCCACTGGCAGGGGAAGTGGTGGTGGGTGGAGATAGGCCTCCAAACCTTGGAGGGCCTGAGATGTCCCCAGAGAGGTGGGTCTGATACCCAACCTGACATATAGACACAGACATACAGGCACACACAGATACAAACATCCATTCCCACCCTCATGCTCTCATATGCACTTACTCCACACTCAACCAACGTGGAGACAGACATAAAGAGACGCTGTACACACGATCACACTCCCCAAGCGTACTCTACGAACCGGGTCTAGGTACCCTTGCCCCTGGAGGGGGGAACTGCACCCAGACCCAGGTGGTGTTACCCTTTTCCCTGCGGTGGGGAGAGGCAGACCGCCCCGACTCCGCAGCAGCAGGGAGGCCCCACACTCCAGACCGCAGTCGGACGGCCAACTCCTCCTAGCCCCCCCGCTCCAGCAGGCCGCAGAGAACGGGGGTGAGAGAAGCCTAAATTGTTGAGGCATGTCAGTGTTATTGACTTATTGCATTACTTATATGCACCCAATGCTTATATAATAATAATAATAATAATAATAATAATAATAATAATAATAATAATAATAATAATAATAAAACTGCTTAATTCACCAAAGATTGTAAGGTTTCTTACATAAAAAGTTATTATTTATGTTTTGAGATTAGCGTCCAGTGACTGCATTCTCTCTTTGATCCTGGAGTAAATGTTGGGAATTAAGATGACTTACTATTACTGTTTTTAAATGTCATTGAGATCTAATATATTAAAATTTCCTACAGACATTTTATTACTGTTGTTTGTCATAAAATCCAGTATTAGATGTCCAGTAATGGACATATCTTCATAGGCTGCAAATACTAAAACAGTGCACACTGAATAGTCAAAACAGTTCAGGTACTTAATTTCCATCATGGCTGATTGAGTGACACCAGAAACACTTCATTGTAAATGAGCTGCAGAAAGATGGCGCTGATGTCCCTGTAAACTTCATCATGGGACCTTTTTTTTTTTTTTTTTTTTTAAAAGATGTCTCTAGCAGAATGTTGAACGTTGATGTCAATATATCACATATTATATGACAGTCTAAATCCAATAAATGGATTTTTAAAGTGTTTACATGTGCAACTTATGTCTTTTTTTTGTCATAAGAGTTTTCATTACATTTACTTCTGTAGATGGAAACACCACTGACAGAAAGGGTGCACAAAAATGATTTTAACATAAATATAAATACATTGCATAATCATTGTTAAATTTAGCATTTCAGTTAAAGAGGATAATTAAAGACAAGTCTTACAAAGATGAGGATGTAATGCAAATGTTGTATTTCCATCTTCCTCCAGTGATATCTTGATCCAAAAGACGGTGTATTTTATTGACACTACATAAGAAACATTTAGAGTAGTTAGGACTACTTGGCACTCTGTAACTCTATTTTGGTGTTTTCTGAGCTTACTGGATGATCATGCATGAGCATGAGGTACACCTTGGCCCAGTGAGCTGGTATATCACAGCTCCACCTTTCCTGTAGACTCCCTTCATCTCTCTTTCTGATTGTAACACCAACACTAAAACTCATCTGCTGTAGCAGATATCTTGGATTTTTTGTTGTTGTCTTTGTTACACATTGCACACTCTACGTGCATATACTCATTCGTGCATATACTACTGTACTACTAACGTACTGACAAACATTGGTTTTCTTCATGTCATTATGTTTTTTTGAATGAATTTTATTGTCTAAGTTACCATCTTCTCTTGTGTTAGAGTCTGTGGCAAATGCACTGTAGACTGGACGAAGGATGGAATAAGTTAACTTCTATAACTGCAATGGTTGATCAGTCATTGTTTGCTGATAGTGTGTGTTTTTGTGCAGATTTGTTTTGGGATAAGAGCACAATCCAGCTCTTTGGGAGACTGATGAGCAGTAGGCAGGATTTTATAAGCCGAGCCTGACTGATACAATTTTTTTGTGATTTTTAAAAAAATCAACACCGGCCAATACTTTTTTCCTTCAAACACACAAAATATAGACAGGTTTCCATAATTTTTCATGTGTAGTTATTTGTCATCATTAATATGACAGTACTGTTAAAAATGTATTTGTTTTTACTGTCACAACAAGTCATGGATTACTAGTTTGTGCTCTGCTCAACTCTCCTTGGTTCAGCTGGAATTTGTTGGCGGAGATACAGATCCCTGTTGCCCTCTGGTGGACAAACATCAAAACAAGATTAACACTCATGTTTGAAGGATGCCTGTCCAGCTCTTCTTTATAAAATGCTTACAATTTCATTTATCAGCCACTGCAAATGCAGGTACCGATATATTAGCAGATCATTGGTTGGGCTCTAGTTCTGAGGTAACTGAAGCAGCTGTAGTGAAGAACAGAATGTGATTTGTTCTGCTGCATGTTTGCTCAGTAAGCTCTCTTCTGCGGGGTTTTTCCTGGTTTTGAGCTAAGGCTTGTACTTGGTTTGTAAAAAAAATTGCTGTTAGGTGTGAGAGGGAATTCCCTTTTGACTTGATTGCGAGGTCTTGATAGTGTAATGTTAAAAGTGGTTTGAAGGGTTGCCTTGGAGACACATTCAAGGATGCAACAGTTTTTTGCCATTTAGATTTTACCAGTTTTGTGGTTTTAAATGCATAAGTACCCAACTTAAGTAGCACCTGAAAACTAAGCGTGAGGGTCAGTTAGATTAGGGTTAGGCAGAGGAACAGGGCTGTGCTGTGGGGAGTTGTTGTTGTATGGGTTATTGAGCTCTGGCTGTTTTGGGCCTGTTTTGTTTTTTGTCATTTTGGGGTTAGTGCTTTTGTTTCCTGGTTATGGCTGCTATTGTTGCATCTGCATCTAATGAAATTAGGTTAACTTTTGAGCAGTAGAAGGAACTACTGTTGTTGTGGTTGGAAATAAAATTCAACTTGAGATGAGAACGTTAAGTAAGAGCAACACAGATGCTGATGGTCACATCTCTGTTTCTCCTGGGCCTTTACTTTCTTCTGATTAAGGAGAAATCTTCATCCCAGTTTTGTCATCAGAATCCTTATATGTGAAGCATGAAACAAAAATTAAAGATTGGTTCAGGTGGTTGCACCCACTAAAGTGCTGAGGATGTCCGTTGATCAATCATGGCTCTGTAAGAGTTGCAGCTATATTTAGAAGTATTTTTGACCTCACTTAATTTTAGAACCTCTCATATGTGTCAGGTGTCCGCAAAACCAAACTGGAACATTAAATCATAAGTTACAGAAAGTGCTGAGACCATTTCACAAACTAAGTTCTGCCGTGTTGGGTTGCAAAAACCTTTTTCACACCAAGGCAGATCTGTGAAACTGAGAGCAAGTGTGATCACCCATTCGATCTGTGCTGTTGGTACAAACTATGTGAAATGTATCACCTGCTGGTTTTGTGATCTGGCTTTACTTAATAACATTGTGTTGGGTCATGTAAGGACGCTGCCACTGAATATCCATTACCCCCCAAATAAGAAAGTGCTTACGTGCTTCCTGGGTTTGGAAGAGAAATTCTCTCATGGGCTTTGTAAAAATGTTTTGTCTATGGTTTCTCTAACAGAAATAAAGAAGGTGTGATCAGCTGCCATTCGGTTTTTTCGGCATTCCCCTCTTGTTTTAAGCAGCAGCTAGCTTCATCACATCAACTGTTTTGCGTTGCTCAGATTGTGATGTGTTGGCTTTTGTTTTTGCCATCAAGTCACGTGGATGATGCTTTGCCAAGACCAACTTGCTCATGAATTCATACGCATGGTTTTCTACAATGCTTTTCTTGCTCTCTTGTTTTTGCTCCTGCTCCTCTTAAAGCATTTCTCTATCTGCCGGCATATGAGTGTGGTACGCAGCCTTAATACTGCATATGGCTGCATATGGCTGCAAACTGAAGTATGTATCTGGGAATAATAATTTACATTTGAAATCAAATGTTTTAGGTTACTGTTGTTTTGATTTGGTGCCATAAGAATAAAATTGAATTGAGCTCATATATTAACCAGGTGTCAACTATATTAATTCATTTTTCAACTTAGATGAGTTGTGGCTGTAAGTGTTGTTGTTCAGCTGTGTTACGCTGTATATTATAGCTCTGTTACCTATGGAAATAAGAGTGGGATTTATTCAGTACTAAAGCATGTCATGTTAATGGCATGCTATTTGACATATGACGTTCTAAAGTGTCTTTGCACTGAGCCTGTAAGTTTAACAGGCTGACATCATGGAAAAATGTGGTCCTGGTGACAAAAACTAGCTCAAACCTAGTTTTCAGTTTGTGATTGTAATAGCACCGTAACCAGATAAGAGACCTACATCAAACTTCACAAGTGTGCTGTTAAAATTGAAACAAAGGGCATGTCCGGTCACTTGGATGAGAGACATAGAGTAGTAGTGTTTCTACTGCTGCGTAATGCTACGTCCTGATGAACAGAATCGGTTTTTGGGAAGATTTAGAGGATCAGGCATTTGGTTGGCACTCAGCAGTAACATTTGTGTGATTGTGTGTGTGTTTGCAAAGAACACTACGATCTGCCACTCTTTTATTTAGTTAGCAATAGTTTTCACAATGATGCAGCAATCCTTGGTGACACAATGAAAAGTTGGGATTCAGATGCAATCTCATTGTTACTATGACAGAAGGTACAAGCGCTGACAGTGAAAGCACCGTAGAACTGCTTTAACATGCAGTGATAAAAGTCAAACCAAATTTAGTACATACAGGTTCTTTTATTAAGTTTAAGTAACACACATCTCTGAATGTGTGTACATTTAGATTGCAAATATATTATATGTGAAGATCCATAAATGATGAACTTTAGTAAAAGAGCATACAAACATCAACAGTTCAGAAACAAGAACAGTACAGGGAGTGAAGTAAGTGCAGTGATACTACAAACAAATACAATAAGACACGAATCACTTCAAAGAAATAAAATAAACAAATCAGTAATCCTCACTGTGGAAGGAGTTTAAATCTCTGTCCTTCATTCTCTACAGCCGGTTGAGCTGGTCTGAGCTTGTGTTGTAAATCGGGTTATTGTATTCACAATCTAAAAAGGAAGAAACAGCAGTTCAGTGTACAGTATTATTTGATTAGTAACATGCCCACAGATGAAGTCAACACTCACTGTCTTTGTTTTTCTTCCTCTCGCGGCCAACTGGAAAAGAAATGTGAGTTAATAAAGGAATCTGTGTTTTGTGTTTATTGTCAGACATTCTCCTCATTTATCATCAACTCAAACTACCTCTCTTTTGATTCACCGCCTGCTTTGATGTGGCGTGTTGCTTGCGGAGATCGCGTTGGTTAACTGTGAAATAAAACGGATGAATCAAAATCAGACAGAACTGAACTCATAATAATGAAATAATTTAAATGTAAATATAATTAAAGATTACCGTAATAATGCCGGCTGAGACTTGCTTGCCGTAACCTGCTGAAAAGCTCTAATGGGGTAAGAGAAGACAGTTACTTCACACTGTTATTTAGAAGTCACCAGTAATGCCGTAAGTAAAGTGACTTTTTTCCAAGCACCTAAATGAAATCTCTGTCTGGTTCTCTGACTTTCCACCCTTTCAAAGTGAAACTGATCCACGTTTGGATAAATCCCACCGCTGCTGTGACCGGGCTGTTGAGGCTGAATGCTGTCCAGATACTGCACAGCTCCACGTGAGTCATAGTGATTTCTGGGGGGTTCTGCACTTGCTGGGCGCAGGTTATCATTTTCTGTTGTTCAAAAAAAGATTTGTTTAAAACGTACTCATCATTATTTCTCAGGTGGGAGACAGTTACTTGATTGTATTTTAGCAAGTAAGGAGGGAAGAAAAGATGAGTAAACTCACCGTAGACGAGATTATTACCGTAGGCTCCTGCTGCCTGTTGTACACGCACATGTACACCCACTGGTACATTGATTGTTGGCATAGGTGGAGCACTGGGATCTGCAGTGGCACATTTGTCAGAGCAAATTAAGGGTCTATTCAGAGATTTTTGGGAAGACAGCTATTCCATGTCTTGGCAAATTTTTACAAATTTTGTCTGCTAAATATGAAGCCAGCAGGTAGTTACTGCAGGTTAGCATGTTAAACACTGAGCTGCATGTAGGAAACAACAAACCGGCCTGCGTCTGTTACCTTTTTCCAGTGAAACAGCAATGTTATTTTAGTATATATATATTATATATACATATATTTGTAATCCCAGTTTAAATTCCCTTTTAGTTTTTTAGTGTTTGTAAAATATGGTAACAAGTGAAAAAAATTACAAACAAAGGATGTAACACAGATATGAATATATGGCATAGACTCTGTACCTGCAATGGTGGGAATCTCGGCACTGTCCTGTGTTTTGTTTTTACTGCAAACTGAAACAGAAGCAAACTGTATTACTAAACCACCCAGTTTCAGCTTTGTGTCTGACATGTCAGGTTCTCACCTATGCATTTCCAGTAGATGTAGAAGCTGACAACAACCATCAGAAGGAGTGCAGCCACACCAATACAGATGTAAATGACTGGCCACATGTCGGCGGTACTTGCACCTGCATGAAAAGTTGTGGTTTTACAAAATATGTGTCACAGGAAACAGTCGCTTAATCATTTGTCCCTTCTCGTGTAATGGGTCTTGAGGTTTGTGACCCTGGAAAGGAAGAAAATCTACAGGCTGCTGTTTAGTATTGAATATTTAACATAGCTTAAAATAAAACTCCACTTACGACTTTCCATGACTTGAACACACTGCCGTCGACAGCGGTAACACCCTAGGTCAGATTTTTCAAGCTCATCAATTCTAATAGAGTAGTTCCCGTCGATTTGCTCGTTTGAAAAGACTTTGACTCGGCCATTTCTGGGGTCCAGGAACTTAACATGCCCTTGAGATGAAAGCTGCACCATCTCTGCCTGCCTTGTGGCAGCGTGGCTCCATGTCACCCAATTGGAGCTGTTTGGTCGAAGGTTACATGGTAGGAGCACAGACGAGCCAAGTGAAACGGTCATACTGATCTTCTCACAGAAGTTAACTGAATCCTCACAAGATTTTTCATCTTCAAGGAAAAAATGAAATATAATCAAGTTTAGTTATTTCATATTCAAATGACCAAAAAGTCATCACAATAAATACAACTATATTATACAACCCTTACACATTGATTAAAACTGGCCTGTGGTACTACGTTAGTGTAAAAATTTATGATCTATAGTAAAAATGTTAAAATGATTTAAGCAATTTTAAATGTTTCAACAGAATAACCATATCTTATGCCAATGTACAGTTACACCAAAAGTAGTTAAAAACTGAAGCGGCAAAGGATCTGTTGCTACAAAAACCACAAAGCGTGAAACAAAGTAACATCAAATCAATTATCATCATAATTTTGTGTGCTTGCTGTCTTCTCTGAAAGACCGATATTTGAAAAAAGCTTATATAGGGAATGAGAACAGACATTTTTTAATAGGTCTTACCACAGCAAAATAAAAATTTCAGTTAAAAGCGAACAATGTTTACAATGACGATAAGATTAGCTGAAGAGAGCTGACGACAAAAAAAAATCTAAAAGCTTTTAAATATTAAAGAAGATAATATTATATTATAAATATTGTAGAATATTATAGAAGATATGTTATACTTGTACAACAATAAACAAACACATAAAATAAATATAGTGCATGAAGGGGAGGTTTTTCTTATCTGATGGGTCATATGTTATATATTGGATAAAGATACTAGAAATGAAAAAAAACGAGTATCAAAATAGGGTAGAAAGGTGATGTAAGTGACTTTGAATGTGACATTGTTGTTGGTGTCAGAGGAGCTGTTCTGAGTATTTCAGAACAAAATGCTGATATATTGTGATTTTTCCACACAACCATTTCCTGTGGGCCACACCCCACTGTGGGACACTTTGTCAGCTAAGAATGGGAAACTGAGGCCAAAAGTCCCACAGGGTCACCAAAATTGGCCGAAAGCAATTTGGAAAAACGTTTCATAAATCTTGATATCAGCCACAACATTTGGGTGCTAGGGTCAGAATATGGCATAAATGCCTACCTGAGTATTGTTGCTGACCATGTCCACAGTGTGCCTTTATGACCACTATGTACCATCATTTGATGGCTACTTCCAACAGAATCACTGTAGTCAAGTAGTCACCGGATCTTATTCTAGAGCATTTTTGGGATATGGTCGAACAGGAGATTCACATCATGGATGTGATGAATCTGCAGCAACTGTGTGATGCTATCATATCAATACGGATTGAAATATCTGGGAAACTCTTACAGCAACGAGTTGAATCTGTGACACAAAATCATTACAGCGGCTCTGAAGGCAAATCCCGGATTCAACGCAATATAAAAATAATATATCTAAAGAGGTGACCAGTGAGTGAATATGCATTTCTCTGGATTAGACACCAAAACGTGAAAGTATACAGTATTGATTTGAAAAGTGAGACATTAGGTGAGAAAATATTCTATCAAAAGGTAGCTCTCACACCATGGATCATGATCCTGCTGAGAGAATAATTATTCCGTCTTTTAAGCAGTTTATCAGTCTTTTTATTTATCTGATTATTTTTCAATTTCCCTCTGCCTACTTCAGAGCTCACACCTCCATCAATTAGTACAGATTCATTTAGATCACTGTCACCAAAAACGAGGCATAGATGGTTCCCCTCTGTGCTCTTTTGTGCAGTCTGGCTGGAGTTCATCATACAAACATTTTAATCACTGCACGCCTGTAGGCTGAATTCACACCTTCACTCTTCCTAAATAAAGCGCATATAACACGCTTTGAGTGCTCCAGGAGAGTAGCAAAGTGCTACATAAGAATGAGTCCATTTACCATTTAAATCACTTGATTATTATATTTAATTAGAAACATCTTATTCTTACTTACTCTCATTGTGTACATTCATGTCACACAAGTTTAGACTTTTTTGAAAGTATACTGACTGTGAAGACCAGATTAAGATGAAGATAAAAACCAAATGAAGACCACAAAAAAGTGCATGAAGACTGACAGTGCTTCACTTTTTCACTGAACTTGTGTGATCTGTATATGGCATTCAACTAACCTTTCTCGCATCAATTACAGTTTATGTTTCCTTAATATTGACAAAATTATTTTATTAGAAAATATATTCAGTGATATGCCTTTTTCTATCAATATGAGTAAAATCGGAATGTTACAAAATCACTGTCTAAATACATGAAATTTTTCATTAACTTTTCATTAGCCGACTTCTATCTATCTATAGATATATATATATTTTTAAAACTTACAATTTGAAGACACACACGTGAGGCACAAGGTAAAAAGGAGCGGCCACCTGGCAGCGTGCATCTTCCTCAGCATCTCGTACAATGTGAGCAGCACGATGCTATATTAATCTATTCATTATCACAGAAAGAAACCACAAGACCACGAGTTTCAGTTGTTTAAAGCAATGGTTTGCCATATTTACCTTTATATGGGAGTTATATGTTTAGCACAAAAATCAGTGATCTTAACTGAATGCTAGTAATGCTACATTTTTAACTGAAATGTGTAGATAATTACACTTCAAAGAGTGATATTGTATTTCTGACTGAAAGCAGAAAGCACCTGCTGCGACATTCTGCTTTAGACCACTTCCTGTGGAAGCTTGCTGATATTTCCTGGGCAAGAGGCCCCCTTATGAAAGCCACGCATGAATACATAAAGTGATCATTAGCTACTGTAATCAAAAGACAAGTAGTACATTTTACCCACATCAGTCACAATGGCTGTGTTGCTAGGCAAACTGCTGAAGTTTATTGTGGGTGTTGTAGCAAGTTGTTTAATAAAAACCAAAAGGCTTCAATACTTCAATACTATCCAGATTTCACCCATTTATTGAGACTAAATGTTAGTTTTCATCAAAAAAATATATTTCAAGAGTAAACTGAGCATCAAAATGTAAGTCTTAATGTGACAGTGTAATAACGTGACAGTATAATAGTTTGTTTGTTTACACTGTATCAAATGTGGTGATACTTTGTGTGGTTTTGTTACCTTGCAACTTGCAAAGATATTAAAGGTCACATACTTCCACCACTCAAAACCATACCTCTGCAGTACTCAGTGATAGCGCATGGTTACTGTTGGGAAATTCTTTATACGGGTCAAGGTGTTAGTTCAAGCCAGACTGCACAAAAGGTGAGTCTGAGGTAGTTCAACCCACCTCAGACTCACCTTTACACCACAACTAATTTATTAGGGGACTGCTAATGTACACTGAGTCCAATCTTTCCCCAGGAAAGTAAAATTGGGGTATCAAATAGAAAAAAAAGAGAAAGCAAACTGAAGGATGTTGACCGTTAGCAGATGACTTCCTTTAGTTTGCTTTCTCTCTTTTAAGTTTTTTCAAAAATAAAATCGTTATTGTACGTTGGACCAGTGTTACTCAACTCATGTCTTTTGAGGCCCAGAAGGCAGTCTGTGGAAGTCAGTGCATTTCAGGCTGATGAAATGGCTTTCAAAAAAAAAAAAAACAATAAACAACAACAACAACAAAAAAGCAACAACAATGAAGGTCTAGGAATGCCATAAACAGAAGCAACTAGCATTTCTGCCCCAGTGGGTGGAATATAACTAGGTAGGATTTGATGATTTGAGGAGAGAAGTAACAAGTTTGGCCACTTTCAACACTTCCCCTGCTTCCTTTAACCTTCCTGTTGTGCATGACAACTGCTGTCAGGGTGCTTAATTAAGGCCTTTAGTGCCTCTACCTGCATTTGTTGAGCTTCTCTCTCTTGGGTTTGAATTTGCTGATAATCCTAATCCGCCTGCATCCGCCTACTACAAATCAGTAGCATCTGTTAGTAAGCACTCTTGATTCTCCCAGAAACATGGATGTGTAGTTTACATATTACTCATTAAACAATGACAACAAAAATGCAAATAGAACTGGTAATTGTTAACAATTAATAACACATTTAGACAGGCTCATCTGGTAACACAAGAACATTTAAATAGATTGCCTAGACTAGCATATGGATGATAAATGTCCAGTGCATTTAAGGCTTGGAATCACTAGTTAAATTGTCTCCTGTGCACCTCCAGACTCACAGATTCTTCTCCTGGGCCATTCACACTGTTAATAAAAACTTGATTAAGGCAGCAGCACCCAGGACAGAGGAGGTGAAGCCTAGACAAAACACAAGGCATTATTTCACAAAGAAAAAAACTAATATGCTAAATGGCCTGTATTTGTATAGGATGTATAGGGTCAAGGTGTCACATCCTTTATTTAAGTTGATTGTACAAGTACCCCATAAAAATCTCTACAACGCATGCTTGTAGGAAATGTTTACTGCTGTTTTTAAGACTCCGTGTTTCAGTTAATTTTGAGTATGTTCTATTTTTCTGTCAGCATGTGGTATCAACGATCAATCTCAGTGTTTACTATGATTATATCACTGTTCTTTGCAGCTGTGTTATTATGTTTGCACTGAAATAAATAGTCGACGTGCAAAAGAGCAAAGCTTATGGTTATGGTAGTATGAAAAGTATCTTCCTTGGAAAGTTGGCTTACTGTCACATTTAGAGTCTTTGATACCTCAGTGGTCCATGTGATTGCATTGATATTACATTTTTTAATATTGGAGCAAAATGATTTGTTATTTAGGTAACACCTTCATTAATAAAAACAGGGATTGAATACTGAAAGACTTTAATAACTATATGTTGAGACCTGTGTGATTGCAGGGTCTTTACCATACATCATTTAACGTTCCTTGAGGTGACTGTTACTTCAAAACTATTACAATTAAAAAGGGAATTATGAAAACAACAAAAAAGTCAATGTGTGCTTTGTATGAAAAACACATGAGTGAAAAAATTGGACAAAGTCCATCAGTTTAAAAACAGAAATGAGTAATGTAAAAATATTAAAACAAGCAAAGATTTTAATGAGACATTTGATTACAGCTTCTTTCCTGATTGTGCTTCCTTGCTGCTTCATCTTCAGTTTTTGTGTTTGGTTAGTCTTTTATCTTTTATCTGAGACAGTGCTGAGCAGCATCTCAGAGATACAGTTCAATTAAATTCAAATCAATTTTATTTATATAGCGCCAAATCACAACAACAGTTGCCTCAAGGTGCTTTATATTGTAAGGAGGACCGTACAATAATAGTAATATTTAATATAATATAGTGTGCAGTGTGGTGTGGTTTTGCCTCCTGCTGGCTGTTTACTGTAAAAGCTCAAATTCAAGCTTTTCATAAACAAGGTTCCTCTATGAATGCTGACATCTCTGAAGGGCTGCATGATGGAGAGCTCATTATGACTACAAAATGGAAAAATGGTGAAAATACAGTGGACACACAAACAAGCTGCAAATGAGTAGCAGTAATTAAAAAACATATGATATGTCAATTAAACAGGTGATGTGTAGGATAACCGTGTTAAACTGTGCTATAGACTCTAACAGCTGCAATGACCTGTGGTAGCGCTCTTTCCTACACTGTGGGTGTAAAAGTCTCCTGCTGAACGAGCTGCTCAGTGCTCGTGCAGTCTTATAGAAGGGGTGGGAGGTGTTGTGCATGATGGATGTTAGCTTAGACAATATCCTGTCCTCCCAAACCTGCTTGATGTCTTGACCAGTTTTTTAAGTTTCCCCCTGTCCCTCTCTGCCATTCCACCACTCTAGCAGATCACAGCATTAGAGATAGCAGATGCCACCACAGTGTCGTAGAACGTCCTTAAGATGTAGTGATAGTGATATTTCTGTTAGTATTCCTTTGGTGTTCTCTATTACAAAATGTAGAGATGTTACACAGGTTCTGTCATAGTCATGGGAAAGGCGCTACTGACTATCTAGGAGCTCAGTGACAGGGGACCCTTATATTAGTGTTTTTTGTTTTTGTTTTTTGTTTTTGTTTTTTAACTCCCAGAGCAGTTGAGGTCTGTATGGCTTGAAATAATTGGGCTGAGTGACTAAACTTTGATTCCAAAAAAACCTGAAAAAGTGGAGATTCTCTGATTCCACTTTCAACTCTTACAAATTATACCAAATTGTTTAGTTCAACCCACCTCAGACTCACCTTTACACCACAACTAATTTATTAGGGGACTGCTAATGTACACTGAGTCCAATCTTTCCCCAGGAAAGTAAAATTGGGGTATCAAATAGAAAAGAAAGAGAAAGCAAACTGAAGGATGTTGACCGTTAGCAGATGACTTCCTTTAGTTTGCTTTCTCTCTTTTAAGTTTTTTCAAAAATAAAATCGTTATTGTACGTTGGACCAGTGTTACTCAACTCATGTCTTTTGAGGCCCAGAAGGCAGTCTGTGGAAGTCAGTGCATTTCAGGCTGATGAAATGGCTTTCAAAAAAAAAAAAAACAATAAACAACAACAACAACAAAAAAGCAACAACAATGAAGGTCTAGGAATGCCATAAACAGAAGCAACTAGCATTTCTGCCCCAGTGGGTGGAATATAACTAGGTAGGATTTGATGATTTGAGGAGAGAAGTAACAAGTTTGGCCACTTTCAACACTTCCCCTGCTTCCTTTAACCTTCCTGTTGTGCATGACAACTGCTGTCAGGGTGCTTAATTAAGGCCTTTAGTGCCTCTACCTGCATTTGTTGAGCTTCTCTCTCTTGGGTTTGAATTTGCTGATAATCCTAATCCGCCTGCATCCGCCTACTACAAATCAGTAGCATCTGTTAGTAAGCACTCTTGATTCTCCCAGAAACATGGATGTGTAGTTTACATATTACTCATTAAACAATGACAACAAAAATGCAAATAGAACTGGTAATTGTTAACAATTAATAACACATTTAGACAGGCTCATCTGGTAACACAAGAACATTTAAATAGATTGCCTAGACTAGCATATGGATGATACCTACCACATGGAATGCAAAGATACAGTTAGCTTCCACAGTAACTCCCCTCGATACAAATTACAGGTCTTGCAGTCAACTAATAACCACAAAAGCCCTGGCCGGTAATAATCTTTTTATTATTCACAATTGCTTCATAAACGCACAGAAGGAAATGTCCAGTGCATTTAAGGCTTGGAATCACTAGTTAAATTGTCTCCTGTGCACCTCCAGACTCACAGAATCTTCTCCTGGGCCATTCACACTGTTAATAAAAACTTGATTAAGGCAGCAGCACCCAGGACAGAGGAGGTGAAGCCTAGACAAAACACAAGGCATTATTTCACAAAGAAAAAAACTAATATGCTAAATGGCCTGTATTTGTACAGCGCTTTTACTAGTCCCTAAGGACCCCAAAGCGCTTTACACATCCAGTCATCCACCCATTCACACACTGCCTACATTGTAGCCACAGGCACCCTGGGGCGCACTGACAGAGGCGAGGCTGCTGGACACTGGCACCACCAGGCTCTCTGACCACTACCAGTAGGCAACGGGTGAAGTGTCTTGCCCAAGGACACAACGACCACGACTGTCCAAGCCGGGGCTGATTACAAGGCGAACTCCCAACTCTTGAGCCACGATCGCCCCATTAATATCCTCGTTAGGGCTGGAGCAGGTATTAATAAGGTTTAACT